CGCAAAACCACACAGAATCACACAAATATTCAAACTAAAAACTCTAAACATGATACTAAACACAAAATAAATTCAGAATATATTTTACATTGTTACATACAAACTCAAACTCTGATTATTTTATGTATTTTTTATCTAAATATTATATTTTTGAGCTAAAAGAGTAAAATGAAATGTAAACAGTCTAAAAATCTGACTTAATCACATTTCTAGCTTCGTTTTATTTAGATTTTTCTCAAAAGTCGTCTCTGTTTACCAAAATATAACACAATAAATCAATTGTATCAAATTATAGTCATGTATTTTCTTTTGCTTTAGTTTAATCTTTTCCTGTCAGGTTAATATTTATGTCATGTCTTATTATTTAACCGCAGTAAAATCAAAATATAATGTAAAAAAAAAGCATAATTTAATAAAGAAGATGCCCGTATTTAGATTTCCCACGCAGAGTTGTCACGTAAACGCGTCTTTGTACTCAGTCTAAACTAAACACGCCCTTTAAATCTGCAATGACACAACATTTTCACTCCTATAAACCTCCAAATGTTCTTATTAAAGCCTTTAAATGCAAAATATAAAGATAATAAATGTGTTTGTGCCGGAGCAGCGGGGCAGGTTGGTGTTAGCCGCAGAAGCTAACTAGCATCAGTCTATTACCTTCTCCCGGCGTCTCCATTTCGGGTTTAAAGATGTTTTTTTTTTCCTGGGTCTTTGGGGTTTTTAGATTCGCGCTTCCGCTGAGACTTCGTTCATTTTATCCGCGGTTTGAGCAGAAAACGGTTTTGTTTGTGCAGAAAAGAGCCGCAGCGTCAGAGGAGACACAGAGCTGCTCCTCAGGACTACACACACCGGACTACAGGACTACAAACATGGCTGCTCCTACGGCTGCTGTGACGGGGACACTGGAATCCATTAAAATAACTGGACTGATAACTGTCTAGAAATGTATAAATATAATAAATAACTGACTAGAACCAAAATTATAATAATTACAATAAAATAAAATAAATAAATAAATACTGCAGGACTACAAACATGGCTGCTCCTACGGCGGCTACTTTATAAATAAAAACATAAAAAATAAATACAATAAGCACAATAAATAAAAGTAAAAAGCCCTATGTACATGGACGTCAGTCAACTATTTGGTGTCAGTGTTTAATTTTTCTGTCAAACTAATTTTAAAAATGTAAAATTGAAATGAAAATTCAAATAAAAACAGTAAATGACATGGAGAACAGAAGCTTTGTGCTGTGTGGGTCACTGTGGGATTAAAACATGTCATAATGTCATATTATGGAACATTCCAGGAAAATCACCCTGGAGACAGAGAGACTTCACCATTTCACTTTTATTTAAATGATCACACGTTACATTTCAGCTGAGTTCTTCCCTCTAACTGAAAACACTCTGTACCACCCTGTGACGTCATCGTGTGGTGATACAGGAAGTGCTCCACTGTGTTTTTAAACTTCACACACCTTCACTGGAATCATCCGGATCATTTCGTTAATTTCTGGAGTCACTGATCTCGACTGAACTGAAAGGAAAAGGAGCTGAGAACTTGGAAACTACCACTTCATGACATCACCAGGTGGAACAGAGCGTGAGGGTTTGAGTTTGTGTGATACGGGACCTTTAATAAGAGACTTTACCCTTTACTTTGGTCACTGTTTTACACTTTTGTCGGTCCTTTCAAGTGAAAAACCGTTTCAGGGCCTTGATCCTGAAGCTCAGAGACGAACGAGAGTCTGAAACGACGACGTGACGAGGGTTTGGACAGAACGTGTCAAGTAGATTTAGGTTATTTAAAGCTGCACTCTGTCAGTTTTCTTGTGGAGGTTTGCTGTCTGCTGGTCTCCATGGAGATGTTATTGTTTGGTCTGAAATGTCCCGGTGTGGCTTTAAACGCGTCCATGTTGCATTTACTGAACGTGGGTTTTTACAGACCTAAAAACATTGTTACCGTGTGTGTGCTCGCCTCTCCACAGATCTGACATGGCCCTGTGGCGTCACCTGCCGTCTCCATAGAGATAAGTGTAATGCCATACTGTGGAACTTTTCAGGACCCTCAGCCACAAAAGCTCCACCCTTAAACTTTCTTCCTACGACACGTTTTTATTTCACCTTCTGGATCGAAAATGTCAAAAATGAAAAACACGAATCAAACGTGACACTGACCCTGGATCAGCTCCAGCCTCTAAGAATGACCTTTGACCTGAGACGTGCGCGTGCCTCATTAAAGCTGTGGTTGAATATTTCTTGAGCTTCGGTCTCGTCCCCACGACACGAACACGCTGCAGTGACGTGCGTAAAAGCGCGCGCTCTGGTGTTTCCGGTTCGAGGGACGCGGGTCCAAGGCCGCTGAAGTGCTCCGTGCTCGTGCTCGTGCTCGTGCGTGATTGGTCTGGTTAAAGGCGCGCGGGGTCGTGTGCGGGGTCGTGCGCGGGGTCGTGCGCGCGTAATGGCGACTCAAGGACGCGCTAATGGACGTTTGTTTGTTCCATTAAAAACATCAACATCCGCCGAGACTCGAGACGAACGAAAAAAAACAAAAAAACCAAGAGACCGAGAGACCAGATCTCACTAAAGACCACAGGGTTTATGGATCTGGAACCAAACCAGGACCAAACCAGGACCAAACCAGGACCAAACCAGGGCCAAACCAGGGCCAAACCAGGACCAAACCGGGACCAAACCAGGGCCAAACCAGGACTCAGACTGGACCAAAACTAAACCAGGACCAGGACTAAACCAGGGTCCATTATCACTAGGCCAAGATTCTAAAATAAAAGTCTTAAACATACGTTTTGAGACGAGGTTGTTGGTTTGATTCCGTGTCCTTGAGCAGAGTTTGTTTCAGATCAGTTCATTTTACATCTGTGTGTTTCCCAAACTGATTTTTCTGGGGACTAAAAATCACAAACCTTCAGGACCAAATCCATCGACATGATCCAGAAATCACAAAATAAAAGTGGATTTTTTCATTATTGAACATGAATGAGGAGATTTTATTGTTGACAATAAGTTTTACTCAAGTTTTAAACCATGAAAAACACTGAAGCAGAAATAAAAAGATCCACACGTCGACTGTTTGGACTTTAAATATAAAACTTTTCTTTTCAGCAACAAAACAGTCAATAAAATAATGACACAAAGATTAGAAATGATACAAACATGTTTTAACATTTCAACATGTGTCAGAAGTGTTTATGACACATGAAGCCACATGAAGAACGAGACAAAACGACCCAAAAAACATCTGTTCTGACCCACGTGAGGGACGCGACCCAGACTTTGTGAAACTGTTTTACTCGACGATCACGTTTAAACTTTTACATCACACAAACTCTGAGACTGAATCAGGTTGTGTTGTTCCTGGTCAAACTCAGAGCTGGAGTTAAGTTTGTTTATTCTGAGTCTGTTACATCTGCAAACCTCCAAACGCTCTGCTCCTCCTTGTGATGTCATCAGGTGGTAGTTTCCAGGTTCTCAGCTCCTTTTTCCTTCAGTTCAGTAGCAAAAAAAAAAAGTCGACTCCAGAACTGAAAAAATGGTCCAGGTGATTCTAGTGAAGGTGTGTGGAGTTTAAAAACACAGTGGAGCACTTCCTGTATCGCCACCTGATGACATCACGAGGTGGAGCAGAGGTCGTGTTGGTTGTCGTGGCGTTTGTCGTCGTGGTGTTTGTTCTCGTCTCGTGGGTGTGAACTCGTCTCAGTCGCTCTTCATTTCCTCCGAGTCTTTTCAAAACCTTAAACCACAAAATCCGGCTCTAATCCCGGTCTCGGTCCGGGCCTCGGTCTCGGTCTGGGTCTTTGTTGGGACTTTAAGGCAACAGAGGGACGGGTGTTGGGTGACAGGTGAGAGACAGGTGAGAGACAGGTGACAGACAGGTGACAGGCGCCGTGACGCCAAAACACCAACGTGAAAATCCTCCTCAAATCCAGACTGACATTTACACACAGACCCAGACCGGACCAGGACTCAGACCCAGACCGGACCAGGACTCAGACCCAGACCGGACCAGGACTCAGTCACAACATGTTTAGACTTGGTTCAGTCCTGTTCTATTCATGGTCTAGTCCTGTTTTGGTCCTGGTTTAGTCCTGGTTAAATCCAAGAGTTAGACCTGGTTTAGTCCTGGTTGAGTTCTGTTTTGTCCAGGGTTTAGTTCAGTGTTTAGATTTGACTCAGACCTGGTTCAGACCTGGTTCAGACCTGGTTCAGACCTGGTTCAGACCTGGTTCAGACCTGGTTCAGACCTGGTTCAGACCTGGTTCAGACCTGGTTCAGGACCATGAATCCTGTGGTTATAGGGCGGCTGATTTACCTCCTGAGCCACTGTCACTGTCCCTGGAGTCTGGGTTTAGTCCAAGTTCAGTCCTGGTTTAGTCCTGGTTTAGTTCTGGTTTAGTCCTGGTTCAGACCTGGTTCAGTCCTGGTTTAGTCCTGTTTAGTCCTGGTTTAGTTCTGGTTTAGTCCTGGTTCAGTCCTGGTTTAGTCCTGGTTTAGTCCTGGTTTAGTCCTGGTTTAGTTCTGGTTGAGTCCTGGTTCAGTCCTGGTTTAGTCCTGGTTTAGTCCTGGTTTAGTTCTGGTTCAGTCCTGGTTGAGTCCTGGTTTAGTCCTGGTTTAGCTCTGGTTTTAGTCCTGGTTTAGTCCTGGTTGAGTCCTGGTTTAGTCCTGGTTTAGTTCTGGTTCAGTCCTGGTTGAGTCCTGGTTTAGTCCTGGTTTAGTTCTGGTTTAGTCCTGGTTGAGTTCTGGTTTAGTTCTGGTTTAGACCTGGTTTAGTCCTGGTTGAGTCCTGGTTGAGTCCTGGTTTAGTCCTGGTTTAGTCCTGGTTTAGTTCTGGTTCAGTTCTGGTTTAGTCCTGGTTTAGTTCTGGTTTAGTCTGGTTCAGTCCTGGTTTAGTTCTGGTTTAGTCCTGGTTTAGTCCTGGTTTAGTTCTGGTTTGAGTCCTGGTTGAGTCCTGGTTTAGTCCTGGTTCAGTCCTGGTTGAGTCCTGGTTTAGTCCTGGTTTAGTTCTGGTTCAGTCCTGGTTGAGTCCTGGTTTAGTCCTGGTTTAGTTCTGGTTTAGTCCTGGTTGAGTTCTGGTTTAGTTCTGGTTTAGACCTGGTTTAGTCCTGGTTTAGTCCTGGTTTAGTCCTGGTTTAGTCCTGGTTTAGTTCTGGTTTAGTTCTGGTTTAGTCCTGGTTTAGTTCTAGTTTAGTCCTGGTTTAGTCCTGGTTTAGTCCTGGTTTAGTCCTGGTTTAGTTCTAGTTTAGTCCTGGTTTAGTCCTGGTTTAGTCCTGGTTTAGTTCTAGTTTAGTCCTGGTTTAGTCCTGGTTTAGTCCTGGTTTAGTTCTGGTTTAGTTCTGGTTCAGTCCTGGTTTAGTCCTGGTTTAGTCCTGGTTTAGCTCTGGTTTAGTCCTGGTTCAGTCCTGGTTGAATCCTGGTTTAGTTCTGGTTCAGTTCTGGTTTAGTCCTGGTTTAGTTCTAGTTTAGTCCTGGTTTAGTCCTGGTTTAGTCCTGGTTTAGTTCTAGTTTAGTTCTAGTTTAGTTTCTGGTTCAGTTCTGGTTCAGTCCTGGTTTAGTCCTGGTTTAGTTCTAGTTTAGTCCTGGTTTTAGTCCTGGTTTAGTTCTGGTTTAGTCCTGGTTTAGTCCTGGTTTAGTTCTGGTTCAGTTCTGGTTTAGTCCTGGTTTAGTCCTGGTTTAGTTCTAGTTTAGTCCTGGTTTAGTCCTGGTTTAGGTCTGGTTTAGTCCTGGTTTAGTCCTGGTTTAGTCCTGGTTTAGTTCTGGTTTAGTCCTGGTTTAGTCCTGGTTTAGTTTTCCTGGTTTAGTCCTGGTTTAGTTCTGGTTTAGTCCTGGTTTAGTTCTGGTTTAGTCCTGGTTTAGTCCTGGTTTAGTTCTAGTTTAGTCCTGGTTTAGTCCTGGTTTAGTTCTAGTTTAGTCCTGGTTTAGTCCTGGTTTAGTCCTGGTTTAGTTCTGGTTTAGTCCTGGTTTAGTCCTGGTTTAGTTCTAGTTTAGTCCTGGTTTAGTCCTGGTTTAGTCCTGGTTTAGTCCTGGTTTAGTTCTGGTTTAGTCCTGGTTTAGTTCTGGTTTAGTCCTGGTTTAGTCCTGGTTTAGTCCTGGTTTAGTTCTGGTTCAGTCCTGGTTTAGTCCTGGTTTAGTTCTGGTTTAGTCCTGGTTTAGACCTGGTTTAGTCCTGGTTTAGTTCTGGTTCAGTCCTGGTTTAGTCCTGGTTTAGTTCTGGTTTAGACCTGGTTTAGTCCTGGTTTAGTCCTGGTTTAGTCCTGGTTTAGTCCTGGTTTAGTCCTGGTTTAGTTCTGGTTGAGTTCTGGTTCAGTCCTGGTTCAGTCCTGGTTTAGTCCTGGTTTAGTCCTGGTTCAGATCCTCTGTGGGTCTGGTCCTGTAGGGGCCGGGGGTCAGGGGTCGGGGGCCTGGAATCATTTTTATATTTTTCATTTTAAATCCAGATTATCTTGAATTTTTTGAACCTGTTTTTGTGTTTTTATTTTGTCTTTGGAAAATATTGACTTTCAGTTTCCACAGAGTTCACTCCTAAACCCTCGTCTCCTCTCTCCTCGTCTCCTCTCTCCTCGCCTCCTCTCTCCTCTCTCCTCGTCCCCTCCCACCTGGTGATGTCACAGGGGGGTCGTGTGTCCTTGTGGGTTTTGTATAAAAGTCTGAGTCAAACGTCAAATCGACCAAAGTGAAATTCTTGATTAAAATCTGCAGCAGCGACTCAGAGGAGCTGGAGCAGGTGAGACGCCTCCTACAATAATATTATTATTATTATTATTATTTTATTATTATTATTATTATTATTATTATTATTATTATTATTATTATTATTATTATTATTATTTGATTTGATTTGATTATTATTATTTAACTCTGTTTATTTAACACCATTTCCTGGACTATTTATTGGTTTCCAGTTTTGGGTGAATTCTAACGTTCTTTTTTAAAGTGTCACTGTGTCACTTTTCTGTCTTTCTGTGGATCAGGGGCGAGTTTTAAAGTGTTTGTACAGAAATGTTCCGTAATGATTCTTTTCTGTGAGTCGTGTTTTTCAGATCTGAGTTTGTCTGAGTTTGTGTTTTGTTTTTCACGTGTAAATTTATTTCTGGTCAAGTTTTTCTTGAGCTTCACGAGCTCGTGGCGCCTGCTCGTCTCCATGGAAACAGATCAGTGTAATTCCACACTGCGGAACTTTCAGCTCCGTGTGAATATCCGACTCATTTAGGCCGATAGTTCTGATGTGACTTTAACCTGTTTCCATGGAAACAGAAAACAGTTAAAACCACAGTGTGGAACATTCTCCTCGGGTGTTTTTCTACACATGAAGGAACATTTCCATGGAAACAAGCAGGAGTCAGGTTTGTGGAGAGGCGAGCTCACTCACCATGAAGACTCTAAAAACTAAAAAACATAAAAGTTTAGTTTGGGGCTCAAAAGTGACACACTGTGGCTTTAAATGGTTTGATTGAAAATGAATTCTCTTTATGTCACTTTAAACCCGACCAGGATCGACTCGTTTAACTGGACTAAAGCTGCATTATTTTATTTTATTATTTTATTTTTTATGTTTTGTTTTTTTAAAATAACATTTTCATGAGTCAGAACATAAACTCTTCAGTCTGAGCAGCAACACAACGACATTTACTGATTTTATGAACAAATATCATTTTTATTCTGCAGAACTGAGACACACAAACCTGCAACAGTTTGGTTTAAATGTGAAAGTTCAGTCCTGGTTCAGTTCTGGTCCTGACTCGTTCTCTCTCTGTGTGTGTGTGTGTGTGTGTGTGTGTGTGTGTGTGTGTGTGTGTGTGTGTGTGTGTGTGTGTGTGTGTGTGTGTGTGTGTGTGTGTGTCTGTGTGTGTGTGTGTGTGTGTGTGTGTGTGTGTGTGTGTGCTGTGCTGTGATTGGTCAGCTGGAGCATGTGTCCTGCGTGGTTATTGGTCGCTGTGGTGGTGGGCGGGATCTCAGGAGCCGTCAGTCAGTGCTGGGACCATCCCAGCTGCCGAGACCTGGACACCAACCTGCAGGTGAGACAGGAGCGCACCTGACACCTGACACCACCTGACAACACCTGACAGCACCTGACAGCACCTGACACCTGACAGCACCTGACACACCTGACACACCTGACACCTGACACCTGACCACCTGACACACCTGACACACCTGACACACCTGACACACCTGACTGAACACCTGACACACCTGACACCACCTGACAGCACCTGACACCACCTGACACACCTGACACACCTGACAACACCTGACAACACCTGACAACACCTGACACACCTGACAGCACCTGACAACACCTGACACCACCTGACACCACCTGACAGCACCTGACACTACCTGACACACCTGACACACCTGACAGCACCTGACAACACCACCTGACACACCTGACAGCACCTGACAACACCTGACACACCTGACACACCTGACACCTGACACCTGACACCACCTGACACACCTGACACCTGCACCTGACAACACCTGACAGCACCTGACAGCACCTGACTGACACACCTGACACCACCTGACACACCTGACAGCACCTGACAGCACCTGACAGCACCTGACAACACCTGACAGCACCTGACACCTGCACCTGACCACCTGACACACCTGACACACCTGACACACCTGACACACCTGACACACCTGACACACCTGACACACCTGACACACCTGACACCTGCACCTGACACACCTGACACACCTGACACACCTGACAGCACCTGACAGCACCTGACACACCTGACACCACCTGACAGCACCTGACACACCTGACAGCACCTGACAACACCTGACACAGCACCTGACACCACCTGACAGCACCTGACAGCACCTGACAACACCTGACAGCACCTGACAGCACCTGACACACCTGACACCACCTGACAGCACCTGACACCTGACACACCTGACAACACCTGACACACCTGACACACCTGACACACCTGACACACCTGACACACCTGACACACCTGACACACCTGACAGCACCTGAACACACCTGACAGCACCTGACAACACCTGACACCACCTGACACACCTGACAACACCTGACACACCTGACACACCTGACAGCACCTGACACACCTGACACCTGACAACACCTGACACACCTGACACCACAGCACCTGACAGCACCTGACACAACACCTGACACCTGACACACCTGACACACCTGACAGCACCTGACACCACCTGACAGCACCTGACAACACCTGACACACACCTGACACACCTGACAGCACCTGACACTACCTGACACACCTGACAGCACCTGACAGCAACCTGACAACACCTGACACCACCTGACAGCACCTGACACAACACCTGACACACCTGACAGCACACCTGACACACCTGACACCACCTGACACACCTGACAGCACCTGACAACACCTGACAGCACCTGACAGCACCTGACACCTGACACACCTGACACACCTGACACCTGACAGCACCTGACAGCACCTGACACACCTGACAGCACCTGACAACACCTGACAGCACCTGACAGCACCTGACAGCACACCTGACACACCTGACACACACCTGACAGCACCTGACAGCACCTGACACCACCTGATACCACCTGACACACCTGACAGCACCTGACAACACCTGACACACCTGACAGCACCTGACACACCTGACAACACCTGACAACACCTGACAGCACCTGACAACACCTGACACCACCTGACACCACCTGACACACCTGACAACACCTGACAGCACCTGACAGCACCTGACAACACCTGACACACCTGACAACACCTGACAGCACCTGACACCTGACACCACCTGACAGCACCTGACACACCTGACAGCACCTGACACACCACCTGACAGCACCTGACAACACCTGACAGCACCTGACACACCTGACAACACCTGACAACACCTGACACACCTGACAGCACCTGACAGCACCTGACACACCTGACAGCACCTGACAGCACCTGACAGCACCTGACACACCTGACAACACCTGACAGCACCTGACAACACCTGACAGCACCTGACAGCACCTGACAGCACCTGACACCACCTGACACCACCTGACAGCACCTGACAGCACCTGACACACCTGACAGCACCTGACAACACCTGACAGCACCTGACAACACCTGACAGCACCTGACAGCACCTGACAGCACCTGACAACACCTGACAGCACCTGTCACATGGACAGGGCATCTGACACACACGGGGAGGTCAGGTGGTTCTGATCTGTACGTGACTCCGCCCACAGGAGTGCATCCAGGTTTGCCGCTCTGATTTGTCGGCCGAGATGCCCGTCATCCCAGGCCCCTCCCACCTACAGGCCCCGCCCCCTCCGCTTTCCGACTCCGCCCTCTCTCCAGACGACTCCGCCCTCTCTGTAGATGACTCCGCCCCTCAGACCAAACGCTCGTACTCCATGGAACATTTCCGCTGGGGAAAACCCGTGGGACGCAAACGCCGCCCCGTCAAAGTGAGTCCTGGTTTAGACCTGGTTTAGTCCTGGTTTAGACCTGGTTTAGTCCTGGTTTAGTCCTGGTTTAGTCCTGGTTTAGTTTTTGTTGAAACTGTTTTAAGTCTTTTTATACCAGTTTTAGTTCTGGTTTAAACCTGACTTGGGTCTGGTTGAGTCCTGGTTTAGTCCTGAATTAGTCCAACTTTAGACCCAGTTTGAACCCTGGTTTAAGCTCTTTTATGGTCCTGTTTTAAGACCCCGTTTAGTCTAGTTTTAGTCCTGGTTTATTCATACTTTGTTCTAAATTTTAAAGACACCTTTCAGTCCGGTTTCAATTCTGGTTTAGTTCTAGCTTAGTCCTAGTTGGATCCCTGGTTTATAACCTGTTCTGGTCTAGTTTGAGTCCTTGTATAGTCCAGGTTTAAAGTCCTGGTTTAGTCCAGTTATAGTCCCAGTCGAACCTGGTCTTGTTTTTAAAGGTCTGCACAAACGGCGTTGAGGACGACTCGGTCATAGTCCTGGTTTAGTCCTGGTTTAGTCCTGGTTTAGTCCTGGTTTAGTCCTGGTTTAGTCCTGGTTTAGTCCTGGTTTAGTCCTGGTTCAGTCCTGGTTTAGTCCTGGTTTAGTCCTGGTTTAGTCCTGGCTCAGTCCTGGCTCAGTCCTGGCTCAGTCCTGGTTTAGTCCTGGTTTAGTCCTGGTTCAGTCCTGGTTTAGTCCTGGTTTAGTCCTGGTTCAGTCCTGGTTCAGTCCTGGTTTAGTCCTGGTTTAGTCCTGGTTCAGTCCTGGTTTAGTCCTGGTTCAGTCCTGGTTCAGTCCTGGTTTAGTCCTGGTTTAGTCCTGGTTCAGTCCTGGTTTAGTCCTGGTTCAGTCCTGGTTTCAGTCCTGGTTTCAGTCCTGGTTTCAGTCCTGGTTTAGTCCTGGTTTAGTCCTGGTTTAGTCCTGGTTTAGTCCTGGTTAGTCCCAGTCCTGGTTCAGTCCTGGTTTTAGTCCTGGTTTAGTCCTGGTTTAGACCTGGTTTAGTCCTGGTTTAGTCCTGGTTTAGTCCTGGTTTAGTCCTGGTTTAGTCCTGGTTTAGTCCTGGTTTAGTCCTGGTTTAGTCCTGGTTCAGTCCTGGTTTAGTCCTGGTTCAGTCCTGGTTCAGTCCTGGTTCAGTCCTGGTTTAGTCCTGGTTTAGACCTGGTTTAGTCCTGGTTTAGTCCTGGTTTAGTCCTGGTTTAGTCCTGGTTTAGTCCTGGTTTTAGTCCTGGTTTAGTCCTGGTTTAGTCCTTGTTCAGTCCTGGTTCAGTCCTGGTTTAGTCCTGGTTTAGTCCTGGTCTAGTCCCGGTTCAGTCCTGGTTCAGTCCTGGTTCAGTCCTGGTTTAGTCCTGGTTAGTCCTGGTTTAGTCCTGGTTTAGTCCTGGTTCAGTCCTGGTTCAGTCCTGGTTCAGTTCCTGGTTTAGTCCTGGTTTTAGTCCTGGTTTAGTCCTGGTCCTAGTCCCTGGTTCAGTCCTGGTTTAGTCCTGGTTTAGTCCTGGTCTAGTCCTGGTCTAGTCCCGGTCTAACCCTCTCATGTTTCAGGTCTACACGAACGGCGTGGAGGACGACTCGGTCGAGGTTTTTCCCGGCGAAATGAAACGCGCCTTGTCCAATCAGGACGAGGAGGCGGGGCTAAACCAGGAGGTGCTGGTGCTGGAGAACGACGCGGCGGGGGCGGAGTCCGGCGGCGTGGGGGCGGTCCTCAGTGCTCTGCAGCAGAAGAAGAACAGCGGCGGGGGCGGGGCTTACAAAATGAAACACTTTCGCTGGAGCGGCCCCCCCGAGTCCAAACGCTACGGAGGATTCATGAAGAACTGGGACGAACGGAGCCAGAAACCGCTCCTCACGCTCTTCAAGAACGTCATCAACAAGAACCCGGCACAGACGCAGCACGTGTAGACCAGGAGGAGGAGGAGGACCAGGAGGAGGAGGAGGAGGAGGAGGAGGAGGAGAGAGGGAGAGGAGGAGGAGGAGGAGGAGGAGGTGAAGAGGGAGAGGAGGAGGAGGAGGAGAGAGGGAGAGGAGGTGAAGAGGGAGAGAGGTCATTTTGTAGAGGTTCATCTGAGACATTAACTCCGTCTCTGTAGTCAAACTGAAATCACTCCTAGACCTGCCCAATATGGCGGAATGAGACAAAACGGCAGCCATTTTGGTAAGGTCAAGTAGACACATTTATTGAGTGACCAAATTTTCAAAATCCAAAACTGAAACACTCTCAGTTTGGGGCAGTTGGTGATAATAAAATTGTGAAAAGAGCAGGGAAGAGTGTGTAATTACTAGTGCTGTCAAAAATATCATTATTATTATTAAAAGAGTTAACACAAAACTATTTTAACAGCGTTGATTTTTTTCATCGTGAAGTAGTTTTTTCCTGAGCTGTGTCTTTTGCTGTAATGTTAGAAAAAATAAAGGATGCATCTGTAAACAAGAAGGAAAACAATTTGTACAAAATGGAGAAGTCTCGAGTGTGACACAACGTTACTCACACGAGGAAAACACCAAATAAAGTCTGATCCAAAACACACGGCGATAACGACTGAGACAGAGACACGAGTTTTAGACAGAGACAGAAGTGTTGTTCCTCGTGTATCGCAGCAGGACTCACGTCTGTCTCACTGTTTATTACATATTCCTGCTGCTGGATTTATTTTCTCATCACAAATAAAAATTCAATTAAAAAAACATTTGCACAAAAACGATCCACTTTTCTATTTCAAATTAAGATGATGATTCACAGGACAAAAATGTGAGATGAATTTGCGTTTAATCCCGAGTTAACTACGACATTCATGAGATTAATCGTGATTAAATATTTAATGGATTGACAGCTCTAGTAATTATAGAAAACTGTTCTGTTCTCTGCCCGTTCACGACCAACATGAGTCAGTACAGTCACATTTTCTTTGTGTTTTTGTCGTTTTTAAGCAGATTTTCTGTGTTTTACCTAAACAAATGAAGGTTTATGTTTCTCTTTACTGTTGGCAGAGTCAGATTGGTCCAAAATAGAGACACATGGGACATTTCTTGTATAAATTGGGACAAATTAGTAATAAAGAGGGACGTCTGGACTCTGCACATTCAGTGTTTAATCAGCTTCAGTCACACGTTCATTCACTGTGATAAACCTTTACAAACCTGCCCACGACACGGAGCATTAACATGTTTAGCTCAAGGACACAACAGAAATGTACTGACAGTGAGATTGAACCACCAACCAACCAACCAACCAACCAACGCGATTCTTAATCCAGAAACATTTACTTTGGATTTATTGGCTTCTAAATAAAGTTAAAATAAGTTATAAATTTGGAAAAACAAACTGATTTTTATCATTTTAGTCCAGTGATGATTTGTTTTAGTTTTTTGGTCACAGTTTTATCCCTGAGCAAAATAAAGACAGACGAACGTTCTAAAAAAGTCCACAGTTTTAATCATGTTTCCACCTTCCCAAAATGGCCGCCAAGAAGACGGTTTAGAATGAGACCTTTCCAAGATGGCGTCCAGGGAAAAAGAAGGAGAGAAGAAGAAGAGGAGGAGAAGAAGAGGAGGAGGAGGAGGAGGGATTTTTTAGCCTTTAACCGTGGAAACACTTGAACGACGCGACGGCAGAAAAGCGACGTCTTTTCATATTTATTACTTTGTGTAAATAAATGTAAAATAATAAAAGTGAAGGATTTGCAAAAGAATCAAACGTCTGGTTTTCTGTTCGGTCGACGGGTTTAAATAAAATAAAATAATAAAACTAGAACATTTTTACATGAATCAAATGTTTTAATTTAACAATAATTAAATTAAACTGTGGTTTAAAAAGTTTTACAGTGACAAAAAAAAAAAAAAAAAGACAATGAGGAAAAAAAAAATAATTATTCAACAAATCAACTTTTCATTAGGAAACAAGAAACCTGAGTCCTGATTTAGTCCTGATTTAGTCCTGATTTAGTCCTGATTTAGTCCTGATTTAGTCCCGGTTCAGTCCTGGTCCAGACCTGGTTCAGTCCTGGTCCAGTCCTGGTCCAGACCTGGTTCAGTCCTGGTCCAGTCCTGGTCCAGACCTGGTCCAGTCCTGGTCCAGTCCTGGTCCAGACCTGGTCCAGTCCTGGTCCAGTCCCGGTCCAGTCCCGGTCCAGTCCCGGTTCAGTCCCGGTCCAGACCCGGTCCAGTCCCGGTCCAGTCCCGGTCCAGTCCCGGTCCAGTCCCGGTCCAGTCCCGTCCAGACCCGGTCGGTCCCGGTTCAGTCCCGGTCAGTCCCGGTTCAGTCCCGGTCCAGTCCCGGTCCAGACCCGGTTCAGTCCCGGTCCAGTCCCGGTTCAGTCCCGTCCCGTCCAGTCCCGGGTCCGTCCCGGTCCAGTCCCGGTCCAGACCCGGTTCAGTCCCGGTTCAGTCCCGGTTTCAGTCCCGGTCCAGTCCCGGTCCAGACCCGGTTCAGTCCCGTCCAGTCCCGTCCAGTCCCCGTCCAGTCCCGGTCCAGTCCCGGTCCAGACCCGGTTCAGTCCCGGTTCCAGTCC